GCTACTTGGTTCAGCAGCAAAAGGAGTGACCCCAACCTACTGGTTGGTGCTCTTGTTGGTGGACCTGATGCATATGATGACTTTGCTGATGAAAGAGATAACTATGAGCAGACAGAGCCGGCAACCTATAACAATGCTCCTCTTATTGGTCTTCTAGCACGGCTAGGTGGAGGCCATGGTGGCTATAACCAGCTTCTTCCAGGTATTGTCATCGTTATTCTCACTCTCATCCCTTCACCTGCTAAAACTCTTCTGGTGATTAATATAGTAATCAGCTCTAATTTCTTCCTTGCAGTTGCTGTTCCAGCTCCTAAGCCTGTTGTTACCAAGCCTCAACCATCTCCCAAACCCAAGACAACTCCATCTCCAGGTACTGTTTGGACTATTCACTTCACTTGCACTTTGTATATTGTACAAGAGCAATACATAGTTAGAAACTAAAATGATATGCTGAGATGAAAATATAACTTGTGAATTTCTCTTTCAGCTTCATGGTCAGGCCCAATTTCCATTGAACAGAAGATGACCACCTCATGGGTTGCAAATGGAAGAACTTACTACAGATATTCAACAGTGGTGACTAACAAATCTAATAAGAGTCTCAATTCTCTCAACCTTTCAATTTCCAAGCTTTATGGTCCAGTCTGGGGTCTCACAAAGTCAGGAGATTCCTACACATTCCCATCATGGCTCAGCTCGTTATCACCAGGCAAAAGCCTTGAATTTGTCTACATCCATTCTGCTTCCCCAGCAGATGTCTCTGTGGCTAACTACGAGTTGGCCTGAGAGTGATGAATTTGGAAATGGATTACTGCTGTGTTGTGTAAGACTCTGTAGCCATACAAATGTGCAGTGAGGAGAGGGTCTTTACGTTTTGCTTTTATATTTTGGTGTCAAATCTTCTTCTTCTTCTCTTGTGTATTTTGCATTTCAGTAGGGTAGATCATAATAGGTAGATTATATAAGATGGAAGGACCGGAGCAGAAAGGAGTGAAGAGACAAAGGCAGAGCTCATCCTCTATCTTCTCCGCTTTACAACTTATATACAGTGAGTGATACAAGACAGACAGTGAAACAGGGTTGTTGAGGAGTTTAAAAAAAATGAACTTCTCAATATTTCAGAGAAGAGTCATTACTTATTTTTCAACAGCTTTGGATGTCTTTTCTATGCTTGATGTTGTAAGCTTTGCAGCATTTTGTAATCTCTACAAAGAACAGTTTGTGCTATAGTATTAAGTCTTTGTGCTGTGCAATGCTAATTTGCAAATTTGCTTAGTTTATATTGATAAGTGAATGATTGAAAACTTTCCCTATAGCATATTTGAAGTGTAACTTTTTCTCTGGTAAATCCAATAATAAGTTTATGGAGGTAAAGTTTTAAATAAAAAGCATGTCGTTAAGTAATTCGACATCTCTATTTCTTGTAGAGAACCTTAATTCAATCTCTAATTAGAGGAGGAAGCTGGGTGCTATAAATAATTTAGCCTAGATGGGCGGGCAATAGGGTGGTACCAAAATCATTCTACCCAGAGTAACGTTGAAGGTAAGTGCGACAATTTCACATAGCCCCTCAAAATGAGTGGCCAAGAATTATTAGGCTGTGTATAAACTATAAAAAAATTTTAGTCACTCACATGTTATCTGCACAGGAAGGTTTTCTTATTCGTTAGGCTTTACATCCCTGGGCTAGATTGCATAAGTTGTTTTAAACAAACACTGCCAAAAATAACTAAATTATGTTATCTTTCTTTTCAATATCTTTAAATATTTTCACAAGGTGTGAAAACTCCTTAAAAAGAGGTAAATCACAAACTTGAAAACACAAGAATAGCTGAAAACCAATTTGAAACAGGCGCACAATAATCCATACAAAATGAATAGATAATAAATAACTGATGCTCTAATCTGAAGCAAATGTGAGGGACTATATTTTATTATAAGCGCTTGTGGACAGGCTGACACAGCTAAACTTTTGTGTAATACTTAGGGCATGTTAGAATATTGCTAGTGTAGAAGTGTTTTTAAGATTTTTTTTTATTAAAAATACTCTTTATTTTTAATAAATATTTTTTTAAAATATAACCAAACAGAGATTTAAATTAAAACAATGATAACTAGTTGTGAAATCTAAAAATTGTTTATTAAGTCAACTTGTGAGACGAAGAAAGAACACCCATTACCTAAACTAATAACCAATAAAAGAAAATTAAGCTATAACGTGTACTTGACTGTGAATTAAAAGGGAAAAGTCTAATTTGTTTTTCTTGATTCAAAAGTTTCGTTTACTTCAATATTAAAATTTGAAAAAAAAAATGTACAAAGTATCTCTAAACTTTGTAATACATGCATGTGTACTTAAAAAATAAATTAGTAACATCTCGTCTTAGGTTCATGAGTTGTTTGGATATGTATGAAATCCAATAAGAATTTTGTTGTTTCAACTTTAATTCTATAAAATATTGCTTTTATGTTTTTAAAAAAATCAGTTTTACAATTTTTTAGGATGTTTGTTTAAACTTTACAAAACAATAAAAACTAAAAAATACATTTCTGATTATTTTAAGAAGCTATTTTGTGTAATTTTTTGAAGAAACTGTAATTATAAGAAATTTTCAAAATGAAAAGAACTAATTTTACAATTGTTTAGGGTTTAGGAAAAAGAACTTCAATTTTTTATTTGTTTATAAAATCTATAAAAAAAAATTGAATCATTTATAAAAACACCCAAATTGTACTTCTATACATTCATTTAAGTTGTTAAAAACAGGCCCAATGGTTTCTCGGAAACCGTAGGCTGATGTAAACTGACTTTAGTAAGCCCAAAAAGAATTGCTAGGCCCAATTGAGCTGATTTGACTTTTGGGAAGAGTAGAAGGAAGGTGGTCTTCAACATCCAGCCAAAAGCCAAATCGAAATCAAAGTGAGATTTCCGTAATTTCATTTCATTGTCCGAGCCTTCGATTTGAGAAGGAAGATGAAGAACGAAAGCGAATTGGTTGGACTTTGCATAGACGCAGCGTGTGAGAGCAGAGAAAGTGTCGAGAAATGGCGGATGCAGAGGCGCACTCTCGATCGCTTGCCTTCTCCTCTCGCCGACGCTCTCCTCCGCCGCCTCATCGCCCGCCGCCTCCTCTTTCC